TTATTAAAACTGTATAAGAGCATATACCTTTGATTGAAACAATTTCTTGCTACCACCTCTAGGGGGTTCTTTTAGGCTTCTGGTTGGTCAAGAGAGCATGCCAAGCCCACTTTCTGCGTCAGGTGCACGCCCTGGCTCTGCCTGCGCCTCCCATTGAAGAACCTCTCTGTATGCACGGCTCTGTGGTGGGTTAGCCCCATTGAGTGTGCTTTTACCCAAGCACCAGTGCACTGCAGAGAAGCAACACCCGCAGAAGCGAACTCCGTGGGTGTTGCTTCCCCGCAGTGCACCGGTGCTCGGTAAGAAGTGCAATCATTGCGGCTAACCTGCCGCGATCAACACCTAAAAAAATATGAATATCGCAGTTCATTTCGAAGCAACTATCAAATATTGTATCTTTCAAAATTACTATTCAAAAACTTGAATATTCGCACAACAGTTATGGTAAAGCAGAGTATAGAAGGGACAGTTAAGGCACTGACGAGGATCGCATTTGTTGAAGCAAGCATCTTTGCAGCTGTTATTAGCATACAGTCGCCGACTGATTTTTCGGACTTCACAGGAACCGGAAAAATGTCTAAATAATAGAGAAGTAAAAAAAAAAAAAAATGAAAGACATTTACAAATTTTTGTAAAGCGAAATTGGAGCACAACTCTTGAAGTATTCTGATTTTGTGATATACCGCGCTAAAGAATTTGAGAAATATATATATATGTACAAATATAGACCAATCTCATCTCCTCTATATCCTCCCCTCCTCCTCCTTCGTACCCTCCCCTCTTTCTCTGGTTACGACGACAACGATAACAATGTGCACAACACGGGAACGAGCACCTAAGAGCTGCGCTCTAAAAGCCATCAATAGTGCCTTGCTTCAGGTATACACCTCCATTTGCGTACAGCCACTTTCTATGAGCTTGAGAATCGCTGCCTTCTTTTCTAGTGTTACGGTCGAGTACTTTCTGCACTTTTTAGCGACACTTTGCAGCAGTGGAAGAACAGATGGGGCCATGACATTCAAGCCAGCGCAGTCCGAAGACATGATTCACCGAGACGAGATGAGGGGCGCAAGTCCATGACAGCAGAATGGCAAATGAACAAAGCGAAATGGTAACAATGATAATGATAACAGCATAGCACAGCGTCACCTAGCGATAGGCCTTAGCAGTAAGCTCTGCCAAACCAAGCCAATACACAAGCAGCCAACATTGAATCTAAAATGGCGGCTTCTCAGTGGTGCTTCCCGCTGATTGCTTGCAACGCTTTTGTCTGAAAAATATAACTTTCTGACTTTAAGCTGTCCGAAACATAGGTCATGAATATCCACTATTTCTATCAGGTAAATTACGGTTCCTCTTTTAGGTTTGAAATATTAAACAAGTCCGAAATTATTGGCATCCGAAAAGTCGGTCCGCGACTGTACTCCCCTTTATTTGGAAAGATGCAACGATACTTGCTGCCATTTCTGACGACTTTCTCAAGTGGAACTGCTCTGTCTTGGCTCGACCACGCAACAAAAAAGACAATAAATATTGGCTTTCTTTGCTTAACCCTGATTTAAGAAACTTGGTTTATCTAAAGCGACCCCTTAAACTGAGCAAAACTCGGGTCTCATTATTGGATAGACTCAACCTGCTCACTCTGAATAAATGCGTTAAGATACAGACCATGCAGGAGATAATATTGCCCCATTAAGGGAGAGAAAGCTTCTCCATACTTCCAGAAGATTACCATAATTTTTATTCTTGCCCGAAATGTCAGACACTTGAACACTCTAGGTCGAGGTACTGAGTGTAACAAAAAAGGAGGCCAACATGGCCTTGGTGAGTTAACCTCAAACATTCGAGGTCAAACGTTCAAGATACCAAAGGCAATAAAAAGGAGGCTAGTGTAGCCTTGCTGAGTCAGACACTCAGACAGTCCCGCACTAGTCAGCAGTTGTGCCGACACCTCACCGCTTGCTGCTGTTTTATCGACGCTCTTTCTTTCTTTGGTTTCTGGCAGAAGTTCACCGATTAAACCTCTATTCATAATATTACCCTTGTCGACCCTTTTCCATCCACGACAATATGTCATCTTCGCTCCTGTTTTCTGCCACATCACAAATGCATGCGGTATTCTCTTCTGAAACCAGACGATTGACGGAGCCCCTCGAAGCTCATGCGGTACTCCCGCAGAAATGCTGAGGGGATGGGAATGGTCACCGAACTCTCGAAAGCTGCTTCTGCATCTACTTTCCCGCAGAGCACACAGCACAGAACACCCCAGATGCTTGTATTATGCTCAGTGTCACATGGCAGACTAACTATATGTAGTAGCAAGATGAAACAATAAGTTGCTGACGTATCAACCAACTGTCGGTTAGAAGGACCGGAAACAGTTTTATTTTCACTTTGGCTAAGGGGTGCTGCAAATAAACTAGAATGACTTAGTGTCCGCCGTGGTCGATCTTAAGGTTAAAAAAAATGTATACAGTCGAGCCCACTTATAACGGCCCCACTTAAAACGAACGTTCGGTTAATACGAACAATTTCTCATCCCCAAACATTTTCGCAAGAATCCTGCACAAAACGGCCCACTTTTAACGGTCCTTTCTGAGCGCAATTCTCGGACAGAACGAACGAAACGGCGCCGCGACCTTGGCTGCCGGCGGAGATAAGGCAGGGGAGAGGAGGCGCAAAACGCAGAGGAGCACCGGCAGCGCAACACCCCGACAGCGGGACAGCGTCGGGTTCTTGGGGAGGGGGATGGGGAGGGAAGAGGGAACGAAAGGGGAAAGCAAGACAATCAGGCCTCCCGGGCCTCCCAGCCCAACGTTTTGCACGCGTTCTGCTCGAAGCGTTGGGGCCGTGTGCAAAGCCCTTTTTTTTTATTTTTTTTTTGCGCTTTTTTTTTATTTTGAGTGTTGGGATTTTGCGGTCTTTTGTCTTTCGTTCCGTCTGAAGCGTGTTGCCTCTTGTCGTTTGGTTTCGGCAGTTTCGGCATTTCGGCTCGACCTCCGCGCAATCGTTCAGTCTACGGTCACTCGCCGAGTCATCGATCGTTATGTCGGACATTGCTTCAACTGCGAAGAAACGCAAGGCGATCGACATGGGCACGAAATCTGCAATCCTTCAGGAGCTGAGCGCCGGGGCGAAAAACGGCGACCTGTGCAAGAAATATGGCTTATTGAAGTCCACCATTTCGACGATCGCCAAGGAAAAGGAGAAGATCATGGCAGCAATGAGCATGAATGGTGACTGCAGTGCTCGAAAACGGCTGCGGCACGCCGCGTACAAAGACGTCGAAGACGCTCTCTTCAAGTGGTTTCTCGAAGCAAGAACTATGAACGTCCCCATCAGCGGACCCCTGCTGCTTGGGAAAGCCAGGGACTTCGCGTTTCTCCTGAATTTCACAGAGTTCAGCCCTGGAAACGGATGGCTCCATCGCTTCAAGGAGCGCCACGGGATTGTTTACAAGTCCATCGTCGGGGAAGGGGCATCCGTGGACATAGAGAGAGACAACCTGGACGAGATCTACAGCTACAGTGAGCGAGATGTCTACAACGCGGACGAGACTGCGTTGTTTTACCAGATGAGGCCTGTGCGTACGCACGCGTTAAAGGGCGACAAATGCGTCGGTGGGAAGCACAGCAAGGTGCGGATAACTGTGCTCCTGTGCTGTAATGTAGACGGCAGCGACAGGCGCTTGCCGTTTGTGATTGGAACGGCGAAGAAACCGCGCTGTTTCACCAACCCCCTGCCCGTACGGTACCGAGACAATGCCAAGGCTTGGATGACTCGGCAACTCTTTGCCGAATGGCTCACGGAGCTTGACAATGCCATGGTCAAGCAAAAACGGAAGATCCTGTTGATCCTGGATAATTGCTCAGCTCATCACGTGAACCCAGAGCTGAATGCTGTGACTTTGATGTTCCTTCCTCCAAACGCCACTGCCAAGCTCCAACCCCTCGACATGGGGATCATCAGAAATTTCAAAGTGTGCTACCGCCGCCGCGTCAACGAAAGGCTGCTCATCGCAATCGGCCGACCAAGTGCGCGAGGGCCTCAGCTGACAATTTCTCTCATGAATGCGGTGGAAATGCTGAAGGCCTCCTGGATGGAGGTCAGGTCTGGCAGCATCAAGAACTGCTTTCGAAAAGCTGGGATTTCGTTTTCTCCTGCGGAGCAATCTCCTGCGGAAGCAAGCCAAGACGATGCGCAAAGCATCGACTCGACCCTGTGAACCCAAGCCGTTGCTGCTAGTCTGACAGAGGAAGGGCAGACGTGGGACGACTTCGTTGACGCCGACGAAGATGTCATCGTCTCGGAGAGCGCCTCCGACGAAGCTATCGTGCGGGAGGTGCGGCAGGACATCGCGGCGTCCGACGACGAAGAGGACGACGAGGACGACGAAGACGACGTCGGCGATGGGGTTGCTCCCTCACCTCCGGTTTCGACAGCGACGGCTTTGGGGCACATAGCTTCGTTGAAGCAGCTGGTGTACGCACGGGGACTGAGCGATGTTCACATCGATCAGCTGAGCAACCTGGAGAGCGCTATAATTGGATCTGCACTGGGGAAGCAAACAGCGATTACGGACTTCCTTGAATAAACGCCATGCACATCGATCGCAGGTGTTGCGCTTTCCAATCCGTGCCGTGCTTACTTATTTATCTTGAATTTTAAGGGTAAGTTCATTTATAACGAACTTCTCTTTTAGCGAACGCGTTTCGTGTTGTAGAAGGGTTCGTTGTAAGCGGGCTCGACTAGTATGTGTTTCCATACTCAGTCTTCAATGCCGTCAAAGCTGATGGCACGAGCCTGTCTTCATATAACATGATTTGCAAGTGCCCTCATGCAAACGAGAAACTAGGCGAAGCCGCGCACTCGCACCAGAAGCTTTTGCGGCGTCGTACGCTAGGCACAAAATGGAATATAGGAAGAAATGGCTTCCTTGGCTGTCATTCAAAGATCCTCAAAAACCGGAGGAGGGAGAGGTCAAAGAGACGCCCTCTCACCTCGGGTGCCATGAGCAAGGCGTTGCCACCCCTGCACACCTCGGCGGTGGGGAAGGGCAGACACAGGTGGTACGGGGGCCCCTGTGCCAGGCAGCAGCCAAAGTCCGCAATGGCCAGCCGGGGGCTCTCGGGACCCTCGGACAGGTCCAGAAGCAGGTTGTTGGCCTTGAGGTCCCGGTGGGCCACCCCGTGCTGGGACAGGTGCGCCACGCCCTCCAGAAGCTGGCACAGCAGGCTCAGGCGCACGTGGCTGCTCAGGGGCTCCTCCCGGCGCAGGTACTGCTCCAGGCTGCACTCATACCTGGACGCATACACGGGGCAACAGTCGTCAGGGACGGCAGGAAGGAAGGCCCCGTAAGAGGGGAACTCTGACGAGCCTTGTACGTGTGCCCATAGTCAAGGACAAGGGGAGAACGCGAGAGAGGAGCTTCAATTGCCCCGCCTCCAGCGCGAGCTTCCTTTCTTTGACAACGCTTCAACATCGAATACCAAAGCACAGCATGCTTTGGCTAACTTCTGTCGCAGTGTTTCCCCGCACAAAAAGTCAGCGCCGGTGATTTTTTTAGCTACCCCTACTAATGAGGTTTTCTGAGTCCCTGGCCTTTACTCTTTCCAGCAGGCTATTTAGTATTGCGGAATCCGGAACCGATAATGCAAAATCGGAACATGAATGCGACGCCAAAACTTAACTGTCGAATATACACGCGCTTTTCAGAGCCGTGACGTCACTGGCAGGCTAGTTTGCAAGTCAAGCGGCCATTCTATAAAACGGAATATGCCGTGCATTTGGTTCATGCTGCTATGGGGATACTGGAGCAAGCTTCCAAAGCGTTCACTTGACGCCATCAAACTTCTTGTAATCAGTTGAGAAGAACTTCTAGTATCTAAAGAGTAAACCCATGCCCACTGCCGGCAGTGATGAAAGCAGCATTGGACCTTTTGTAGCAGGCAAAATATTGATTTGGAACAACCACAGAGGCTTTTGGAGAGGACGTCAACATCTGTTAGCATGTTACTTCAAAATAAAGATGTGACTGCATCGCTAAATGAGTTCCTATTTGATAATGATTGGGGGTCTTTGTTTGATACCGAGGCATAATACTTATCTTTTGTGGTAAGAATAAATAGGACAAAAAAAACACACACACACACAGCCTTTCTAAAAGTAAAGCTTAGGTCAGAGAGCAAGTTTAATTTACAACGGCTATCTAAAATATATGGTTGAAAAATAAAGCATAGCATGACACTTCAGTTGAAATAAAGCCTCTCCCTCCCTCTTTTACACTAGGTAGTTACTTTAGTCGGTAAATATATAATTCCTGTAAAATGCCAGCAAATATCAGCATACTGCTAAAACGTCTCAATAAAGATATGTACGCCCCCCCAGGGTTCTAATTTCATAAGCTGCAAAAACAACCACCAGCACATATTATTCAAACTTGCATTTGTGCTTCAAAAGTGACACTGCATTTTAGTGGCGTTCGAACCAGGGTTGAGCAAAAGTTTGCTGCCCTTTCGATTGATCACTCCACGTGAACTACTTTGGCTAGCATATTTACTCAAATACCGTTTTCCTTTTTTAAACTTAACAAGTTTGTTTAAAAAAAAGCCGTCAAACTTACACTTATGCAGTTTGTGCAGGTGAGTTTTACGGCCAGAGGGACATAGTACAAGGGGCTAATCATAACGATCAGTAGACTAAGTAATTAAAATTCATCAGGCGACTTTTTAATTAATGAAAATAGACATATGGTTCCAATTAGAAACTTGCAGTGTCATCGAGAACCACTAAATCAGTAATTTTCAGAAAAACATTGAGTACGTGAGAAGCGTAGTAGTGCACTAAAGTTACCACTCAGGGAGCAGGCACAAGGCTAGCAGTTGCGGTAAGGCCCCCACGCGATTGTTCCATCTCTTATCTAGCCCCAGACTTGTACCTGCTCCACGAGTGATAACTTTAGTCACTACAATGCTTTACACAAAAAAGGTGTTTTTTTGCGTAAAATTTGTTTTTTGAAAAGAGCGCTTCAACCAGACTGTTTAAAAAAAAAATCTATTTATTTTCAGTGGCCTTTTAAGAGACTTTCATTCATGGCACAATTTCATGCAAATGGCACAGCACTTCCATCACTAAGCTGGCGTCACCTTCTCATTGTTGCCAAAACAAAATTTTTGTCTGAAGAAAAAAACAATTGTTGAGGAATAAAATAGTAAAAAACTTTGGAGGAAAAAAAGTGAAAGCCGTTTACAACTCCCTGTAATGCCGAATTAGAGCGCAGCTCTTGAGGAGGAGGGAAGGGTACTGGCGGGGGGGTGGGTCAAGTGACCTCGGGGGGCGGGAAGTCACGTGACCTTGGGGGTCACGTGACCTTGTGGAAGTCACGTGACCTTGGGGCGTCACGTGACGTCGGGGGGGGTCACGTGCCCTGGGGCCACGTGACGATGCCGATGACGTTATCAGTGACGTCACTGATGACGCCATCAGTGATGATGACGATGCAAATGCCGGTGACGTCATCAGTGACATCACTGATGACGTCATCAGTGATGATTACCATGACGATGCGGATGCCGGTGACGTCATCAGTGATGATTACGATGACGATGCGGATGCCGGTGACGTCATCAGTGACGTCACTGATGACGTCATCAGTGGCTATGACGTCAACGGGGGGTCACGTGACCTCGGGGGGTATCCCCAGGTCACGTGACCCTCCCAGGGGTCACGTGACCTGGGTAACCATCGTGACCCTCGTAAGGGTAACCATCGTGACCCTCGTGAGGGTAACCCTAGTAACCCTTGTGAGGGCAACTCTCGTGACCCTCGTGAGGGTAACTCTCGTGACCCTGGTGAGGGTAACTCTCGTGACCCTCGTGAGGGTAACTCTCGTGACCCTCGTGAGGGTAACTCTCATAACCCTCGTGACCCTCGTGAGGGTAACCCTCGTGAAGGTAACCCTTTTGAGGGTAACTAACCCTCAAAAGGGTTACCTTTTGAGGGTTAGTTACCCTCGTAACCCTCGAGGGTTACGAGGGTAAGTAACCCTCGTAAAGGGTAACCCTCGTGAAGGTAACCCTTTTGAGGGTAACTAACCCTCGTAACCCTCGTGAGGGTTACGAGGGTAAGTAACCCTCGTGGCCCTCATGAGGGTAACCCTCATGAGATTAACCCTCGTAACCCTCACGAGGGTTACGAGAGCTGCGGTTACGCCGACGCCGACGCCGCTCAAGCCGGGAACGGGCCCCTAAGAGCTGCGCTCTAAAATTTATTTTGGCCTAATATTTGGGTTTTAGTTTAACAATGTTCGTTGGTGTGTTTGGTCAATTTTGAGGCAAATCAGGTACCGTAAAGAAAATGTTAAAGTACCCCCATCAAATTGCAGGCACCTCAGTCGGGACTCAAAAACTCAAGCCAAGCCTTTGACTCACAGCCTCGGGGGTGGCTTTTTGAGGTGGGTAAAATAGAAGGTGCAAATATCTTTGTACCTTTTCGCCGCGTCCTGCCTTTTGTGCATCGACAAAGGTTGCGGCAACACCTGCCCTACCTGCGCATCACCAGGTAGAGGGTGGCGTTGCGGCCGCAACCGTACGGGTGCAAGCTTGGCGGGAGGGCACTGGGACAGAGGTCGGTCGCCCGGGGCAAAGCACGCATCTTGTCTACGAAGGCCACGGGCATCTGCACCACGTTGGGGTGAGGGGGCAGCTTCACTCCGTCGCCAAGGCAACTGCACGTAAGAAGCGCACGGCTCGCACGGAACGTGGCAGCTTGGAAGTGGAGACATACAGAAACCGTTCAAAGCAGCAACCAGTAGGTGGGAAGAAGACGTGGTTTGGGAACAAGATGGCTTCGCACTAAGTTCCGACGTCGAAAATGGTGTCGCCAAAATGTGATTAGAAGTCAGGACTATGCGGAGTGCAAGTTCGTCTGCTCCCTGAGCAAGGTTGCAGTGATGTCAGAACGCCGAGCACCGATTGGCTTTGATTGGAAGGATAGTGAGTAGACCTCAAGGCAGCGAGCATTGAGGTCTACCCACTATGCCTCCATTAGAGCTGATCGAAGCTTGGCATTCTGACATCAGTGCAATCCCTGCACAAGAAGCAGACGAACTTGCGCTCTGCACAGTCGGTGACAACTTGAGAACAGCAGGGAGTAGCTTCGCTCGCCCCACCTCCTGCGCGAGCTTCCTACCTTTGACGACGTTTCGACGTATCTAGGGCACGCGCGCGGCCAAAGCAGGGCGAAAGGCGTGGAGCACGAGCTGGAAACCGGGCGTTCGAAAAACATGCCCCGCTGCTTTTGTTCCAAAGGTTACTGTAAACAAGGACGGACTCTGTGTACCATAACACAACACTAAAAAGATGTGAAGCTGCAAAAGTTACTCTTAAGATGTAATTAACTGACAATTAATGAAGCTCGTGTGAAAATGCAGTTACAAAACAAAGTAAAACTACAGTTACACTTTAATCGATACATTCGAATACATTTACAGTCGACTCAAAAAGCAACTAAATGATCCTCCGATTACCGTATCGTGCAGACTATAGCCCGCAGACTACCGTATTTACTCGAGTAATAGCCGCAGTTTTACAGCAGAGCTGTTAAGGGCTAGGTTCCCCAGGATCATGTCCGGTATGTCGACACAAACCTACCTGGACAGCTACCGCCATCTATAAGCGACGGCGGCAAGCACACAACCAGTATGATTTCTGCCGTCGCTCGTAGATGGCATCAACCTTTCCAGCTATAATGGAAGAATAGATAGTTGGGCGCGTTGGTGGGAATTCATAGTAAGAAACAGCGCGAAAAACAGCCGACGACGAAGAAGAAGCACACAGTGTATTGAGTACAGCTCCGCTGGTCTTCCTTCTTCACGAGAGTGGAAAGGCTGAACGTTTTTGTATGAACAAGGCCCTTGCGTCTACTTTCCTGCAAAGCACATATACAGCCAATCATCGCGTTGCGCATAAATAACATAGCAAATAACTAGATTGAGAACACGAGTCTCCACAAAAATGCAGTCTTCACAGATGGTATCTTCGTGCGAAGACGTTAGCTCTGTCCTGTAAACCGCTGAAATCATGGTGTCAATCGCAGTGATTGGCAATCCGCGTGCTCCGCGGAGAAGCAAACCCTCAGGTTTTTTTCATAGACAGTGCAGCTATTACTCGAGTAAATACGGTATACATATATATAAGTTGAAATTTTACCCGGTGCAGACTATACAAGGATTTGTTTTTTTTTACGGCAAAGCTGTATTCCTCCACCATCCAAGGATTTTTTCACGTCGTTGGCGTTCTAAGCAAAAAAAACTCCTGGCGAACAATTGAAGGCAAAACAGCATATCTCCTTTGAAATCAGGCGTGCAGCATACAGCTCAGTATCCGTTTCAATAAAGCAAACCACAAAACAAGCATCAAAACCACATAATGGATGATAATGCGCATGTAAACAATAGGAACACCCTCCCTTGCGTTCCGGTAAATATTAGGTTTGCAGCTGCTTCGAAACGGGTTGACGTCATTCGAAGCACTCGAATGAAGTGCAAACCGCATGATGGATGATAACGACGCCTGCGAACAATGCGAAGCACGTTACTTCTCTCCGCGTGTGTTTCCCGGTAAAGATTACGGTTGCGTAAACTACTCAGAGTGGAAAAGTACCCAACAGCAGAGAAATCACGTAGTGACGTCACCACGTTTTCATATATAAAAGGGAGACCGGCTTAGCAAAGAATATCTCTACAGGGAGAAGTGAAAATCTCTGTGTCTATAACACTGATCATAAAGTAGTCGTGAATGTCGCTGTGAAGAAATAAAGGGTGTGGTTAAGTACATTTCACTTGTATCTGGTTTCACTCTTTGTAGAGCCACGTGTCTGAATTTTCAAGTGGCGTCACAATGGGTAATCGCTGTGGGTGTCGTTTACAGCTTCGCTGTCCAGCCACCTTCACAGCGAGGATTGGAGCCACAGTTTTTTTCTAAACCGTTCACTGTGACAAGACGTGAAGGATTTTATGAATGACGGAGTATAGTAATATTGATTTATGTATGATACAAGCTTTTTTGTGAGCTATGATACAGCAGGCACTTGTCAAGGCATCCTCTGTATGATCATTTTTACGTTTGGACTGGGCACTAAGTGCAAACCATGCACGGTGTGCAGACTATAGTCAAAAAATATGGTACCTCCCATATTATCTCACGGCATTCAGGTATGTCGAAATATGCTGACCTACCAGTTCAGTTTTCAGTGTAAGGGACATGCTGGCATAGTCTCTTTCTGAACAAGCCTTTTCCTCAGAGTACAGATTGAGGCAGCGACAACACATAACGCGATGATGAGACTAAAACAATGTGAATTTGGGTATTCCTTAGCATAACTTAGAGATGTAACTGTAACAGCACCAAGTTACCTTAAAACAGTTACAAAGACAGGGTGACATCTACTAAAATTCTGCATAATTCAATTTTTTCTTTATAAAAGACAAAGTACCTCCAACTTGCACAGAAATTAAAGGAAACATTAACTCGGCCTAAAGATGTTCGCTGCTTTAACTAGTAATCGCTAAACATGTCATCTGTCCATTCAGTAGTTTCTCACTGTCTGGTATTGTTTGAAAAATTGAAGGCGGAGAACAACAAACAGCATCTGAAGGTGAAGTGCATGCTCCCTTTAATTTTTGTGCAAACTGACAATTTAAGACAAACTTTCCGAGTCATTAGAGAGGTGGGACGACTTGTTATCGGAAATGGTAGAGTACTCGTCACATTCCAATAAAAGTTTTCGTGAACAAATCAAAGTTTCCATGAATGAATAGAAGTTCCGAGAATATTCCTAACACTGCTTTTCTCCAGCATCCCCTGTGTCCCCCACGCCCTGACCGTACATCCCTCAGGGTACCTGGGGCCACCAGGGTGAAGCCAGGCCGGGAGGCACTCCTTGTGGAGGGACTGCCAGACGGACGCTGCGGTCGACTCAGCCGAGTAGTTGAACATCACCTTCACGGCCAGGTCAAAGGCAGGCTCAGGCTCCTCTGGGGAAGGTACGGAAAACATTGAACATGGAAGGACCCATACTGTGAAAGTAGTTCAACATCGGCACAATGCATACTATGCATTGTGCATGCACAATCCACAGATAGGAGTGTCTTCCGGAACAGCAAAGGAATAAATATGAGGGCAACTCAACTCAATTCTGGAAATTTCGGGACTATCGAGTGATCTCACATTAAAAAGCACCAACAGATGGCACTATGACGTGTGCTTCGCGACATGTGGGATGTATTTTATGAAATCTCAGTTTAAACATGAGTAGCCGGCGCCATTTCAAGGCTGCCAAATTCTCCATAGCACCATCTATTTTCTTCTTCTTCTAAACATGAGCAGAAACCGTGGGCAAGGTGGCACGGCAACGACGCAGTAACCAACAAACTTATTCTTGTATCTTCTGCAGGTGTTCATCTTCAATGCCCTTCCATCAAGCTACAACCACAGTGGACAGTCCGTGTCCGAGGAATGCCGGTTTTTATCAGTCATAATGCCAGTTTTTGCATCAAACTTTGCGTCAGAGCTCGCCTCGGACACAATGATGGCGGTAGCTGTCACGGCTCATGTGCAGTTGTGGAGACACAATGAGAAGAAAGCATGTGATCTGTACCGAGGGCTCCCCGAATTCCTGTCGTCGTGGAACTACAGGTATTGCAGCAGGTCTTGACACCCAAGTTCCTAGTACACATTGTTGCTCGGTCAGACTGGCAACCGACCAGTATTAAAGGGATACTCCGGCGACTTTTTTAGCTACCCCAACTACCGTAAAATACAGCACATCTGCCTGTTCCACACAAAGTGCCCATTCCCAAATTTGTAAGATCTCAGAAAATACACACAGTAGATCTATATACAAAATTGATGACCGGACAAGCCATCCCCATTTTTTTTGCGATTGTCTCCAAAGTTTTGAGTGGGCACTTGCCTGGTATTTTACGCTAACTTTATTTTTGGAATCACCAGCCTTTACCCTTTCTGGTATGCTATTTAGTATCATCAAATTTAGAATATTTATTGTAAAATCAGCAAGTGAAAATATTGCCCAAACCAACATACAAATATACCCCCGCCTTTCTGTGCCGTGATGTCAGAGGAAGGCAGGCTTGCAGGTCAAGAGGTTAGCCTAAAAATGGACGAGCATTTGTGAGCATTTCTTTCGTGCTGCTGCGCATGCTGGAGCGAGTTTTTAAAGCATTTATTTGACACAATGAAACTGCTTGTAATCAGTTGGGAACAAAGTCTACAGTGAAAAAAGTGAACCCCTGCCTTCTGCTGACGTCACTTATTTATTGTTGCTAGTAGAAACTTTAACTCTGAAAAAAGAAAAGCCGTTTACCATTCCCTTTAAAGTTGGATTAGATAGAGCGCAGCTCTTGAGGAGGAGGATGGAAGCGTGCTGAGGGATAAGTGACTCCTTGAGGTCACGTGACCTCAGGGGGGGGTCGTGTGACGTCACGGGTGTCATGTGACCTCGGGGGGGGGGGGGGGGGGGGGGGGGGGGGTCACTTGGCCTTGGAAGGGGGGGGGACGTGACCTTGCAGTTATGCCGATGGCGACGGCGACACCGCTCAAGCCGGAAACGGGCCCCTAAGAGCTGCGCTCTAAAACACGGTGAGGACCGAAATTATGGACTCAATAACTTTACGAAAAAAATTCATTTTTTCCCAATATTTGGGTTGCTGTTTTAAGTATGCTTCTTGGTGTGTTTAGGAAATTTTCAGGCAAATCGGGGACTACGAAGAAAACGCCGGAGTACCCCTTCAAAGAGATAATGAAGCAAAACTTTAAAAATACCTCTCACGTCCCGAAATAAGTTAAACATGGTAAACTTAATCTGCTAATGACAATCTCACACTTGTATTTTGAACAAATGGCTACATTTTTCATTCCAAAATACCGATTCCAGCGAGCGCTCAAAGATGAGCCATCGAAAAGCTCGATGCATCACAAGAGCTGAACCAATTGATGTCATAGACATGACGTCAATTGGTCCAGCACGGGCAAAGCTGCTTGGGGGCTGGCATGGTTATGAGCTTCGCCACCTGGCATCTTCAACGCACTACACCCTGGTCGTTTTTAGTTTCCCCTACCCGCTCATTAAAGGAGTTTAATAGGCCGAGAGAGAAGGGAAATACAGTCCGAGAGGGCTCGCGCAGACGCAGCTTGTTGCCATACTTCCGTGAAGCGGCACTGCTTTTAAGTTTAAAGTGACGTAATGACATACAGATTATTCCTCAAGCAAACAATCGGTGTCTCCGTGGTGTGGCCAGAATGAGGTTGACATTTAGACAATAAAATAGGCACTTGAATTTTGTTGCAGTATCCCTTTAAAGCAAACCCAGTGTACGGACACAGATGGACGAATGAAAGAATCGATGCTGAACCTTTCCTCAAGTTGGCTAGCAGCTGACGCCAGTTAGTGAGTGTGCGTATGAAGCATACTAGCACAAGGTTGTATACACTTGACCGACGACTTGAATCCTCATAAACTGAGACGCAGATGATGCGAGCAGGGCCAACAGTGAAAACTAAACATTGCAACTCACTAGAAATGACGCTTCAGCACAAAGTGAAAAAGACACGTAGTGCGACTAAGTATTTTGGATCCTTCTTCCACGGGACATCTGCTTGAAGTATCTCGTGCCCACATTGCGAGAGTTATTATTCACCGCTGTCCAAGAGCTCATCCTAGAAAGCTCACCTTGCAGAATTTCAGCTGTCAACCCAAAAAGTTCGAATGAGGTCCCTCTCCCTCCATATCTAACGTCGTGTCACTCGAAGCAGCAGCATATCTTGCCCTAGGTTCGAGCGATGAAAAAAGTGCTGTAGTACTCTACCTCGTTTGCGGGGCTGCTCCTTCCAGCGGGCGCTGTAGACGACGGCATTGCTGCCCGTGTCGAGGTGTTCGCCCAGCTCCAAGTCATCCAGGGTCAGCGTCCCCTTGTCCGGCACGCGGAACGAGTCCTCCTTGGGGAATTCGCTGACCAATTCCTGCCACACATGCCCGTCCGTCAGGGCAGGGACTGGAGTCCTCCACTCGCTCGCACGCCACCCACCCTTATGGCGACGCAGACGCTCTCCAGCTCCTCCTCGCTCGTCACCAGGGCCGGCTTGCGGATCAGGCAGATCCCCGTCAGTCCCATCAGGGGCAGGGTAGGGCCGCCCCAGAGCCTCCGAGCGGCGCGCCTGCCCAGAACTGCAGCACTCGACGCGCTCCATGCCGGCGGTCCAGCGCGCCCTGGACTCGAGAACAGCCAGGGTCTCGGGCGCGACACCAGGGACCTGGGGCTGGCGCGGGCCCACAGGCCTCGCCACAGGACCCTGCTCCGCGCCAGCACGGTGGTCAGGTAGGAAGGGAACGCCGAGTCGCGGACCCGATGGCCGCCATGCTGCAACCACTGCGCTCCCTTTGACAGCGCCAGCCGCATCTCTCGACCTCGATCCGCTGGCGGACTTCAACCGGAATCACGAGTTTGTTTCGGTGTCTTCGAAGCCTAGGTTGTCACACCTCTGGTGGCCTGGCCCAGGCTGCCACGGCCGCGGATGTTTTCGTCTACGACGTCCCAAACAAGGTCGGCTCCGATCTCTCTACGCAGCTGACGGAGAAAAACAAATCAGCAGGGTTGCCACTGGGTTTAGAGTCAAAGTGGCCAAATCACGCGCAGAAAGTAGCCAACAGTAGCCATTTTATTCGAGATTTCGCCAACAAGTCGCTACACCAAATATGCAATATCAAGGTATTAAAAACAAGAAAAAAAATAGGGGTGTCGCGAACCGGCCGCGGTTCGAGTTCGACCAGGTTCGACTTTTTCGAACTTTTAGTGGAAAGGTCGACGAACCTTCTATTGAGGTTCGACTTGTGTGCGCATGCGCGACAGGCTGGCCAGTTGGCTTCGGACTGGATGATAATGGCTAAGAGATGATAAGGAGCTGTTCACAATATAAAATAACCCTTGCAAAAAAATATTTTTCCAAACCTAGACATGCTTGTATTAAGGTCTGGCCACACTGTCCACAAACACAAGATCAGTGAACACAAAGTCGAACCGGTCGAATCTGGTGAAAACTTCGAAAATTCGTCGACCCGGTTCGACCCAGTCGAACCCCGAAAGTTCGACCAAAAAGTCTGGTTCGACAAAAGTTCGCGACAGAAATAGCGAACACTTGCGGCAATCAGTCGCCGACTTTTTTTCGTAAATCTCGACCTGGAAGGTCGTCGGAGAGACGACGGGCCGGTAAACGACGAGGGAGGTCGCGGCGGTAGTCTGCGATGATTGGCTGCTCATTGTCGGCTTCGTCGACTGATGGGTGCAGTCTTGAGTTTACTACACACAGGTGCGGGCCGTACTCTGCAGTTCACAAGAGTGAGGGTGAAGCGGTTCAAACACTTCAAACTAATATCAAATAGTGCGGCGAAGTTCTACTATACTCCGCGACAACTTTTCTTGGCAATGCAGTGGAAGGTACAGGCCCGCGTCCCCTCTCAGTGTGCGCGGGCGAGAGGAGGAGAGCCTGCGTACACTCAAAATGGGAGAGGGGACGCGGGCCTGTACCTTCCACTGCATTGCCAAGAAAAGTTGTCGCGGAGTTTAGATGCGTCTGGCCCAATAATAGTTGGCTGTCATTTTCTGGAGCACTTCATTTGGGACCATGTATCGAGATGATGTTTTCTGCTGCAGTCGGAGGTCAAACTTTATTCTTGGGGTGGACTCCAGACGGTCAAGCTTCATTTATTGAGAAGTTCCGTTTTGGTCAGTGACGGGGGAGAATACTCTGTCTGCTTCGGCATTTGAGGCTGGAAGCGTCAGAAACTTGACGGCGCCCGCGATTACTCTGAAAAAGGGCGTGTAGCGGCAGCATCCCTGAAAACCATTGCCTAGTACAAAAAGCTTAACGCAGAGCTCGTCTCGTTCGTGGTAAAAATAGACCACAGTAGTCGGATCTCCGCTTCCAGCTCATTCCTAGAGGTGCTGAAAAAGTGAGGAGACAAACTCAAAAATTTCCCGGCAAGCATTGGGCCCCAGTACAACCTCCGGGCTGATTGCTTGAAGCCTGCGGAGTGCTGATTGATTGATTATTAGGTGTTTAATGGCGCAAAAAGCAACATAGGCCATGCTGCGCCAAAGAAATAAAAGAGTCTATATACTCCGCGACAACTTTTCTTGGCAATGCAGTGGAAGGAGGCCCGCGTCTCCTCTCCCATTTTGAGTGTGCGCGGGCTCTCCTCCTCTCCCCGGAAATGGGGAAAGGAGGAGAGCCTGCGTACACTCAAAATGGGAGAGGGAACGCGGGCCTGTACCTTCCACTGCATTGCCAAGAAAAATTGTCGCGGAGTATAGTAAAATAAAGAATCACTATGCAGAAGATCTATAATTGGTGCAGGTAGCCAGTTTTTTTACGAAAATCTAAAGTTTGACCAAAAGGAACTAAAGGTTCATCTCCCAGCTAGAAGGCTGGATGAAATTGAAGAAATTAGGAAAGTGAAGGGAAACTTGTTCGACGTTCTTGATCAAAGAATTTGCAGTGCCATAGAATATATGCAGTATAGTTAGCATATTCACCGCAATGCTCACAGACTCACCACAAAGAAGATGTCGATGGGTGACACGTGAAAGTCCAATTCTCAAACGACACATTAAAACTTCATGGTGACGGTTTCTATGGCGCAAACTCTCCCATATCTCCAAATGTGGTTTGACGACATGTAGCTTATTATCTATAGCTGTTGCGTTAGGAATGCGCGTTTGCAGTTTTTCTACAAAAACTGAAGCATATTTCTCCAATGCAAAGTTAATCCCTGCACAAGGACAGCTTCTGCAGGGTCCAGGTAAACGCTCTCAGTGTTTCTTTATATTCTTTCAGTCAGCGTGCTCATTACAGATACATGAACAAAGCTTGCAGAACGAGCCCGCTTTGGCCCGGAAACATATATCTGTGCGATACTACTGAGAGCCGCAACAGGCCACAGGAAGTAGCCAAAAATTCGCCAAATCGCCATGTCTAATTTTCGTTAGCCAGGCGCTCCCCAAAGTAGCCAATTTGGCGAAAAGTAGCCACCAGTGGCAACCCTGCAAATCAGCGTTATTGTCAGTGTTGCCAACTCAAAAATTGAAAACCCGCAGTTGGAATCCCCAAAACCGCTAAAAACCGCCAAATCCAAAACACGGCGAAAAAATGATTTTTAACAATTTTTGTTTTGCTTTAATTCTTGCCCAAAGGCATAATAACAGTATAGATCATATCAATGTCGTCTGAAAGGAAGCTTTAATTCCTTTTGTTATGACCAGAGCCGTATATGTAGAGAGTTTG